TTATTTTATTTAGATACAATAGTTCTTTTTAATTTATTTATCTAATGATCTAGCTAGAAATCAGTTGTCGTTTTTTTTTTTCAAATTTAGATTGTAACGGTTTACAGTGTGGATGGGCTTGCGAGTGATTGGATTATTGCTGAACGAGGTTCCCAATCAGGTAAAGTTCCAATTACCTACCTTGAGCTTATGTAATGACGATGCACTTAAAATAAATTAATGCAAAATAATTTATTATTTTTATATAAAAAATTGACTCCGATAATGACATTTAAAATAATAATTTTTTAATGGATACCTTAAATTTTTTTTCTTTTTTTCAATTAATAAATCTTTGTTATCTTCCAAGGTTTTCTATTTTATTGTGATTTAAATACTTACCGTCAAATTATATTAAATATTTCTGGGTTTTATTTATTTATTTTTTATTTTTATTTTTTGAATAAACTTCTGATAAATACTATGTAAAAAATCATCATTTATTAAGTTGATATATTAATTGAATCAGAAAATTTCTCGTTTCATTTTCGTTTTATAAACGGTAAATATTTTATGTAAACGGTAAAAAAAAAAATTATACACACACGCACACACATCAAAAAAAAAGCTAAGTTTTTGACTTCAGCAAGCGGCTGACGTGGCAACATAATAATTTATAAAATATAATATTTATACACCAAGTACATCCACATATCCATCCAAAGACACCAAGTTTCTTTAACGCATATAATATTTGTTTACGATATAATGAATAAAAGTTTTTAACCTAAAATAACCTAAATTTTTCTTTCTCTAAAAGTTCTTTTTTTAAAAAAAACCTCGTCTTAAATTTATATTGTTTTCCTGCATTTTTTGTAAATACTGTTTATAAAATTTGATTTTTTTTTTTTTTTTTTTTTTTTTTATTAAAGTAGATTAAGGTTCCCCAAGAAGTCCTTACGGTCTTATCACAGAGCACCGCGGAAGAGCATTTAATGGGAAGTTCACGCCTCCTACCCAACCGATGTCGTAAAACTTGCCCAGAGGTGGGGTTTGAACTACGGATCTTACGTTTCTGAGGCAAGTTCGCTACCACTGCGTCAAGGCTGCATTTTGTATTCCGCTGAGATATTCTTGGATATAGTAACAATAAAAACTGATTTTATTTTCACAATATAAAATAAGTTTATTGTAGTAGGTGAGATGTTTTTAGTTCACAGTGAGCCAGAGTTTAGCTAGGATGTCTCGATTAAATATTGTCAGATTAAGTCATTTGTAATCAACAGCCATAGCCTGACCAAATTTTCAAACTTTAAGCGAAAAGTAAATTTTTTCTTTCAAAAGTTTTTTTTTTATTTTAAAAATATTTTTCTTTCTAAATCTAATGCATGACGTTCATTAGTGACAAAAACAATTTAACGATATACTCTGGTAATAATATGCGTATTCTCAGGTGCTTAAGCGACCGTGGCGCAGTGGTTAGAGCACATGTTTTAAAAGCAAGTGATTTAGGGTTCGAAACGATCTCGGGCGTATTTCGCATCATCAGTAAAAAAGAAGGCATGAACTTCTTAGTTAAATACTCTTCCGCGGTAATCTGTGATTAAGTAATCACAGTTACGTAATCACTTTTTAACATTTATTTTTATATTAAATTTTTACAAATTATTAAATAATGTTAAACAGTGTGCAAGGGGCGGTCAAAAAGGTAAAGGAGGGGAGGTGGTTTCGGGCTAACTACCCCCTTTCCCTACCTAAGAAATGTTAAACTTCAAAATATTATTGATAAAATTAAAAAAATAAGAAAAAATACAAAAAACTTATATAACTATTCAATATATTTATTATCACTGACTATCTTATAGCCTTTCTAAAATCATTTCTAAATATCAAATGAAGCTTTTTTTTTTTTTTTTCGAAAAATCGCGAACCTTATTTTCTATACTTTTTTTGGTCCGACTTCCCCCCTAGAACAATGACCTGGATCACCCCCTGCAATGTATAGTTTCCCATATCGTTATTCCAACTCTATCGAATTTTTATTCCATTCAAGCGGAAATTTTATAAGTTTTTAATTCAAATACAAGGCGTAAAACTATTTTGTTAATTTTGTTAAATAATCCGCGATAATCTGTGATTACTGTGATTCCGTGGTAATCTGTGATTACGTTGGGGCGCCTAAATGAAAAAGAAAAAGAAGTAATACACGGGAGGTGACCTATATTAGTTTCCGCAAAATTTTCTAACATCCCACTCCCCGAGCCTATTAAGATCCCTAACCCTCTACTCCGTTAATTAATTTTTACCTGTTATCGACAAAAAAAATAGTAAAATAATTTTAATGTAAACACTGATAAAATTAAAAGTTCTTTTTTTTTTTTTTTTTTTTTTTTATTATTTATTTATTTTGCCGTTGATAAATATTACAAAAAAGAAATTACAATAAAAGAAAATCCTGGCCGGAGCAAGAAGAAGACAGGTTGTCTTATCACCGAGCCCCATCACACAAAATTTACATTCACAATAAATAATAAAAGTCAGAAAGATAGTATAAATACAAAAACAAAAAAACTTCAGCAATAAAATAATTTGTTGCTAACAATCTTCCAGCAGAATAATTTTAAAAATAAAAAAGTAAAAACGACAGAAAACCATGAAAGTTATAAAAACACAAAAATATGCGTTGTTTAATTAAAATATATGTAAACATAAGTATTTGGGCTGATTATTTAATATCATCAAAAATATGAACGAAAAAGACAAATTTATTTTCGTTATCTTTTATACAAATGGTTTGAAACCTTTTTTACAAAAGCTAAAGAAAGTGTTAAAGACTTAATTTATTTTTAAGTGATTTAGTTTAAACCTTTAAATTGTTTTCAAAAAAGGTATTTGAAATCTAATATATCGAATGCCATGTTCAGTAAATGCCGTTTTGAATCATCCTTAAAACTTTGCAAAGTGCAGTTAAAAAAGAAGTTTTGTTTTTTATTAAAGATTGGAAGAAATTTTTTCCAAACTAAAAGTCCCCGATATTGAATTTGGTACGAACTTAATTTAAGAAGGTTTATGGAAACCATAAAGTTATTCACTGAAAATTTGGTTGGATATTTATGGGAGATTTCATTAAAGTAGGATTGAACTGTTACTGGAGAAAACCCAAGTTTTCCTTTAAACATAAATAACATTACTTGATGAATATTAAGCTTATAAATATTTAAAGCTTCAAGCTGACGTAAGAGAGGTTCGCATTGTGTTTTTTTATTTGCTTCAAAAATTCTTACTCACCCGTTTACTGAGATCCCCCGCCCCCATCCTCCTTGTTTTACCTTTCTGTTTAATAATTCTAGAAAAAAATTCCCCTAACCTTAATTTTCACTCAGCTCTGTAATTAAGCACATGAAAGCAAAAGACACAATAAAAAGATTTTCTGCTGCAATTTGCTGCACTAATTCCTAGAATGAATATAATCGTTATTGCATGTTTACTTCCACATATTGAAAATACTATACCGATTTTGTTGAAAGTAAAGTAAATTACATAATGAAAAACAAAGTTTATTATATAACGTCTTGACGAATATTTATATAGGATAAATTACCGCAGAATTTTTACAATTATGTTATCAATTTAAGTCCTGTTATAGTTTACAAAAAAAATTAAAATCCATTGAAGTAATTAAAAAACAGTTATTTCTTTTGAAAAGATATTGTTGCGTCAACCTGTGGTAGTGCTCCAATGATGATTAAGTATAGTAAAGAGAGCCTAGCAATTTACCAGTTCTGTTTTAATCATAGTAAACATTTAGCTTTTTGCGACTAAGTGGGCACAGGACGTAAAAAAAAGTCTTTAAAATGTCTCTTGAACGTTTTGAACATCTTTTGAACGTCTTTAAACGTACTAAAGACGTCTTTTTAAAATAATTAAATTGAAACATATACGAAATGAATTATGCAGTGATGATAATAACGCAATTTTGAATAAATAAGATATTGATCGTCATAAAGAATTTTTTGTTTGGAAAAATTTTCTCCGCATTTTTAATGATAAACTAGAATTCGTCTTCAACTGCACAATGGAAAGTTTGAAGGCTGATTCAAAACGGCATTTACTAAACATGGAAGTCGATATATTAGATTTCAAATACATATTTTGCAAATAAATTAATTGTTTAATTTTTGAATCAAAAAATTATTTTAAATCTGTACTACATTTCTTTAACTATTAAAAAATACATTTTTTTAACTTTTTTACGAAATTTCTTTAACTTTTTTACGATATTTCTTTAACTTTTTTACAACATTTCTTTAATTTTTTTACGACATTTCTTTAACTTTTTTACTACATTTCTTCAACTTTTTAATTTTGTTTATTTTTGTGCTTTTGTTGATATTAAATAATTATTAATAAATATTTAGTTATATTTCATTATTTATAATAAAACACATCGCAATTTTTGTGGATTGATAACCTCTTGGTTATCTATCTTTACTTTCATTTTATTACTTCAATTATTCCGTTGAAATATTGTTGTTAAAAGTTTCTATTTTTCATTTTGAAAGTTTTTTTAAAAATTTTTTGTGTATATACTATTTTATTGATTATTTATTTCTCATGTAAATCTTTAGAGCTCAAACTAGGCATAAAAATTAGATGGAACTTGTTAACTGATTTGGTTAGACGTTTTATAAATGTTCAAGGTATATATTAATGAATCTCCTCTTGAGTTAAATAAAATGGATATGCTGACAAAAGTAAACTTTACCCTTTTAATTGATTTGGTTGCTCTAAAACCAATTTGGTTCTAAAACCAATAAAATTAGCTGTAGATTCTCATAGTAGTCAAGATGCTTTTTTATTATCATAGTAGTCAAGATGCTTTTTTATTATCATAGTAGTCAAGATGCTTCTTTATTATCATAGTAGTCAAGATGCTTCTTTATTATCATAGTAGTCAAGATGCTTCTTTATTATCATAGTAGTCAAGATGCTTCTTTATTATCATAGTAGTCAAGATGCTTCTTTATTATCATAGTAGTCAAGATGCTTCTTTATTATCATAGTAGTCAAGATGCTTCTTTATTATCAGCAAACACAATAATCGAGTAAATAAATAAATGATGAATAAACTTTGTTATGCTGACAGTAAAATAAGTAAAACGTTAATGGAAAACTTGAAAGAATTACTGAACGTACAAATAAGAGTTTAATGAGTCTAATGAAATCATTAAATAATAATTTTTAACAAAACAGAAAATAACAGTGAAATTGTTTC